GATGAGTGACTTCCATCAATTACTACCCTCTGGGTCCGACCCCGGAGCCAGTTTTCCAGCCAGTGGATCGTGGAGGACCCAAGGCGACAGTTGACCAGTTTCTCCAAGAGGTGATTATGGGAAACCAGGTCAAAGGCTTTTTTGAAGTCAAGATATATGACATCAATCTCTTCTCCCTTGTCCAGGTGATAGGTCACCTGGTTGTAGAAGGAAATGAGATTGGTCAAGCAAGACCTACCCACAACAAACCCGTGCTGGCTATCCCTTAAGATGTTGGTGTTGGCCAGTCCATTAAGGATGGCCTCTTTAATAAACTTTTCTAAGATCTTCCCCGGGATAGACCCAGGGAAGACACTATGTGGTGTCTTGTAGGAGACCCCAAGAGAAAATAAATAATACAGGAAACTTTGCCTCAGCTATTGAACCAATGTCCGGTCATAGTGTTGACTTGCCTTAAGGGTTCATCTTAATGGACGTGAAAAGATTTGCTGACTACTGCTGCACTTTCTTCCATATCAGTTATGTTCTACAATATGTATCTGCATATATTGACTATATAAATGGGGTGAAGGGGTGTGCGCACTCATGCACTAGGTTGTTCTGACTTTGAATACAGAGTTTGTAAATTTGTTTGGAATCTGTTTTAGTTGAATGGCACCTAATAATAGTTAATAACCGTAATTCCCAACAGCCTTCAAACAGCTATCACATGCTTATACCTTATGGTCAGACTGAGAAACTTTGTGCTTTCCTGTGCATTTTCCAGGGTCAGCTTGAAAATGTTCTTCGTATCACTTCCTGTTTGTTCAGTACAAATGTTTTATTGATCTGAACAGATGATGACCGGATTTACCTGACTAATTCCAAAAAGTTGCCAGTAGAAAGCTTTGTAGTGTCTTACTTTAGACAACATTATTTTAGAAGCTTTCCTGCCTTTTGAATTTCTGATGCTAAATTTTCAGATACTGCTGCCTTATAAAGCAAGTGGCTTATTAATGCCATGAATTCTATAGTACAGGCTGGGGAAGAGGAGACATCACTAGTGAAAGGGAAATCCCCCTTTCAGGCTCCTAACCATAAAACAAATAGCTGAGGTACTTGTGGAAAGTGGAAGAAGTGGAAATGGCATTTAGGGGACTGAGAGATGACATGAAGGCTGAAATCAAATCGTGTCAGCAGGGAACAAAACTTGTATTGAAACCTTTTGTTGTTTCCAAAACGTCTTAAAGCTGACCTGAAAAATGTCTGGTCTGAGCAGTCAAACCAAGTTGACTAGGTGACCAGAAATATGGATTATCATGGCCCAAAAGGTTTATAATAAAACAAGGAAGATCCAAAAAGCTTTAGCCAACTTGTATCTTACTAAGAGATGAATTGCTTCAGTGACTTATGATGCTGTAAGATCACCTACTTTAGAGGGGTTGCAGACCACTCTGGAAGCCTGATGCCTGAATGTGGAGTTAATGCCTGACTGCCAGCTAGAGAACTAGGTGGAAATATAGTAGTTTTAACTTGATTAATACAAAGGGCAGAAGATGAAGAAGATTTTTATAAGTTCATTTTGGTGGGGTGGTTTTTATGATCATGGTAGACTGCCTCTGAAAGAATTATGAAGCTCTTGCTTTGCGCTGTGGAACCACCTAAGTGCTATTGATCCAAAGTAATTTGGGCAGGTCAGGGTTAGAACCATAGAAATCCCACTTGAACCAATGAAGGGTATGGGACTTGTGGCATAACCAAGTACCAATAGGGACACAATTATACATTGGTAGTGACATACCTTGACTTAATTTTGCACACTAAAATTGGTAGGTGAGCAGAGGTGCTTTGGAGCTGGAGGAATTTTTACAGGGACTTAATAACCTCTTTGCAGTAACTTGGCAGATGAGAATGTAGCTGCTAGCAAATAACTGAAGGTGATTTGCCAGTAGTATAACACAGGCTAATTTTTCTCATTTATATGGGGGGAAAAATGGAAATTGCTTTAGGAATTTTCATCTAAGGTTAAAGTATTCTAAAGTTCCTGAACTGCCTAGTGCACTGTGTCTCAATGATGATGCTGTAAGATCGTTTTACAGTGGCATGTAGTATTAGCACTTCTAGGTGTGAAATCCTCATTCCTTTTTAAAATCTCTGGATTTATCTTGTGAATCCATAGTGTCCAAAACATTCTGACCTCTTATGGTCTTCCTGAGTTCTTTGCAACAGATGTATTGTGCTCTTTTTTTTTTTTTTTTCCCCCCCCACAGTTACAAAACAAATGAAAGCTAAGAGCTGGCATTAATGCTGTCTCCACTGGATCTAGGGTTAGTCCCATGCTCTGGATTCTGTGGAGTTTTGGTTTGGGCGCTGCTGGTCTGTTCAAAACAAATCCATTCCAATTCCCAGTTTTCCACCAGATGGAGCTGTTGCATGCATACCTATCAGTTCTCTTCTTTGTGTGAGCAAGAACATTCTCTTCTGGAGTGTGAGCAAAAAATTTCTACTAATTTTGATATCCCATAGTCCTTTTAATAGCAGAATCCACTCTGCTTTATTTTTTGTATTTGGAGACCCTTTTAAGGACTAAGTTCAGTGCATGTGAATTGTGGTGTCAGGAAATTGGTGTTGCCCATCTCTGAGAATGAGCTGAAATCTTAAGTGATGACTTTCCTCCCCCTTTTTATTCCTGTTTCACTACTTACAAAGAGTTTTCTGAGGTAATAAGCAGATCAGAACAGTGCGATCCAGATAAACTAACCTACAAAAAAAAAAAGGATAAATTTATTAGCAAGACTCTCCACTGAAAGTCTAATTTAGTAAGACTGTTTAGCATAGAGTTCTCTGAAATAGATGTGTTAAAGGGCCTTCACTTTAGTTTTTCTTCTCTTCCTCCTAGTTTTGTCACTATATATCCCGTTGTCTCATTCAGTAACTTTACATAGTAGTACTTTCTTATTTTGCACTGAGATTAACAAGTGATAACAGGTTGGGATATTGCAGAAAATGTAAAGGAAAAATCTTTGTGTATCAAATCTAAGCTTTAGTCTACTTTTATCACCTTTTTACAGCTCTCTTAATGCATGTTGGCTTGTTTCTCAGAGTCGTGCTCCAATCTCAGCAAAACTTGTTGCCAATATGCTGTCAGTTGCTGGGGCTGACCACATCATCACCATGGACTTGCATGCTTCTCAAATACAGGTAATTACAGGTTCTTGTTGTTCGTGGCTAGGAATTTCACTGAGTTTGAGACGGGTTAATTCTTTCTTCATAGACTGCATTAGTCTTGTTTCTTTTCACAGCAGAGAGCACCTTTTTGAAAACATAATTCTGATACTTGAAGATGTTGGTGGGAGGGAGTTGTGGAAGGACATTATACCAACGTTAAAATATGAATTTCTGCTGCAAAATGCAATGGAGAAATTGCAGATCAACAAGTCACAGCTACTCTCTTCTTGATAGAGTAACCCTGATCTAGGTAGTATATTTGCAATCATCGGCACTTTCAGTTCAGAGTGAGGCTTTTCAGTAGGTTTTTGGAGCAACTTTAAAGTGTACCAGAGACCCCAGTAGACAGTATCTAGTGCAATATTTTTTCAGTATTTTTGCTAATAAAATAATTCTTTCAGTTCTTGCACATTAATCAAGAAGCGGAGATTTGGCTTGTTGAAACAGTAAAGTATAAACTTAAAAATTACATTCTTAACTTTTTGTTTTGTTTTGTTTTATTGAAAGAAGTCTTAATATGTAGCCTCAGATGTGTGGAGTAGGTGTTGGCTACATGTACTGCTTTAAGTGGGGTTCAGAATCTTTTTTTCTTGTACTCCAGCACATTTTTTCCAGTGGTGGAAGACAATGAGGTCCAGAAGCTATTCTTTAAAAAATCTTAATTTTTTAATGGATATTAATTTGTAGGTTAATCTTCTTTCTGTATTCTTACATTTCTTTCTCCCCTGCTCCCCATCCCCTCCCCACCAATAAAAAAAACCCCAAAAGCCCTGCTACTCCCTGGCTTTATAGTAGGAAGTCACCTGTGATCTTTACTCTTCCTTATCTTGCTTATAGATGGGATTTTTAGAAAGTGCGAACTATTGACTTTAGTGTTGGCCTAATTGTGCTCCCACCAAAGCTTTCTATTCCATTAAAAGCAGAATTAGACCAGGGTGGAGCACACTTTGAAAATTTACCTTAGGTGTTTAAAACCGGTGATGACTTCAAAATTTTCCCTTGTGTATGAGTGTTTGTTTTTTTTAAGTTGCCAGCAAGGAATAATGGAGAATTAATATACACTGATAAAAGCTATTTTTCTGTTTTGGGCTCTAGGGTTTCTTTGATATTCCGGTGGATAACCTATATGCAGAACCTGCAGTGTTGCAGTGGATTAAAGAGAACATTTTGGAATGGAGAAACTGTATCATAGTTTCACCTGATGCAGGTGGAGCAAAAAGGTAGTATGCAAGCAGTCAGTTTCCACTGAGTTCAACTACCAATATATATGACTTTTTGTGGTTTTGCTGTAAGTGGTATGAAGCATAGGTTGCAAATGCTGATGGCTTCCAATTCTGTTGTAATGGGACACTTGTTCTTCCAATGCTGCTTGCCTTTAGTAATAAATAAGAACTTTCTTCACTCTAAGGAAAATCTTTCTTTCTTGTTCCCTGGTTATGACCTTATTAGCAGAGTCTCTTTACAGGAGGGAAGAGGTTTTTCCGGCTGCTTGCTTCCTTAGCCCAGGTGTTGAACTTCCTGCTTAGCTCTGGAGCTGCCTAGGCTTCCATTCTCTTTTAAAGCATTTGGCTTGCCCTCACTTACCTGCTGGAGTTTAGGTAAGAGCTTACTTGAGTCATCTTTTTGTTGTAGAGTGGTTGTATTCCTTCTGGGAATCACTCAAGTTGTGTGCTATGCATCTCAGAACATCAGTTTGAAAACATGAAATGAGTTTTTTTGCTTTATGTGGTATTGGGAGGATGTAGAAGTGCCAGACTTGCACTATTACTTCACTCCTTAGCATCTCTCATCGAGCATGTTGCCTTTTACCTAGTTCTGATGGTCAGATTGATGCCAGAGTACAGAATAGTATATAAAATGTGTGCCATATCAGGTGGAACACTTCTCAGGCAAAAATGATTAGTGATGCAGCTCTTGAAATTGAAAGAAGACGTAGACCTCCACCTCCTCCTAGCTTTCTATCAGTGGAGAAGGGATGGCAGGAGGTATTAGGCTTGCTGGTCCTTTCACTACTAGTGGTCAACTGCCCTAAAGTGACAAAACATGGTGCTCTAGACAGAATCATGAGTGGTGTTACTGCAACAACTTTCCCCCACCACACACACAGAGGGCAATTGGGCTGGCTAGGAGTTGGTTGGAAGGCCTGAGTTCTTCCGGAGGAAGCTAATTCTGTGTGCGCATCAATTCCTATGGTCTCAAAAATGCTTTTTATGAAACTTTAGAAATGCACATCTCTTTCTGTCAAACTTACTTTTCTTGGTTTCTTTTACAGACTTGATTCCCAAGGAACATTTGCTTGTATGTAATGATTCATATTTTCATCTTCTCTGCCAACCAAATTTGGGGGGGAAATATCCTAATGATGTAAAGAAACTGGCAGATGTTTACTTGCATTACCCTGTTTGGGGTACAGCATTTCTTTCCTGAACTCTTTAATAGAAGGTCCACTGAACTAACACTAGGAGCAATAGAAGTGACTGAAAAGTAAACAGAATGTTTTGATTTTAAACGTTCATGTTTTCTGCGTAAGTGGAGATAGGTAGTTAGCTGTGTTCATCTGAAGTCGGACAGAAGACAAGATCAAGATCTATCTTTTTATAGGCTACCTGAATCAGATGCATAAGCTTTTATGCTCAAGAGCACACTTCATTATTAGGTGCTGCCTTCTGCCTGTTTCCTTCATAGATCTGGAAGTATTACAGCAATAGAAACAATTTCATGTATGATCTCCAAAGTTTGGGAAATCTGGATTCTGGCTGCTTCACTTCTTCTTTACTCATTTTCCTATTGGCTGCTTACCCTATAAAAGGAATCTTATCAGTGCAGTAAGGCATAAAACTCCTCTTGATACTTAATGCGTCTGAGTAAACAGGTGTACGTATTGTGGAAAACAGCACTGTGACAAAATGTCAAACCACTAACCTCTTCTAATCGCCTCTTTCTGATTTTTTTTTTAAAAAAAAAGGTCACTTTTTAGATTTAGTTTCTGTAGGAATTTTTTAAAGTTGAATATAATAATGGTTCACCATTGTTTTGGGTGGTGTATGAATAGTTTGTACTTGGAAGATCGTCTTCTATCTGCTGACTTTATCAGTCTATGAGTTTTTTTTATTTTTAGATGCTTTGGGAAGACTTGAGAGAGTAATTTTTAATGGAAGGTACAGCACAGAAAAACAATTCAAACGTATTACTCTAATAGGAACATATTGTGCAGCGATTGGAATTTTAAAGTTGTTTGTATAATTTTTTTTTTAGTGGAGCTCAGACTGGCCAAAAAGGTCACTCTGTGAGTGTTTAGGAAATCTTTACTAATCAATACTGACTTGTTAGTTATTTTTCAAGTGCTAAGCAGTAGAAAGGTCAAACTAGAGTAAATAAAGACCTGACTGCTGTGCCAATTTATAGGTAACGATACTGCTGGATTTTGTTTTTTAAATCCGTGGTGTCTGTAATTTTCAGCTGAATGAGACCTTTAAATTCTTTTTGTATCTGCAGAATTGAGGCTACTTCTGTAGGAACTATCTAGTATTCTTAAATACTTAAGTGGTGATACAAGACTATGAATACCTGGATTGTTCACGTGTATATTGCTTGACATTGCATGTGACAATCTCAGTCCTAAACTCTAATTCGCATGCATCTCATCTAAAGTGCAACATCTGTCTTCAAAATTGGATGTCTTTAACCAGTCAAATTTGGTAATACCCATAAGTAATTCAAATGGTAAAAAAAAAAAGCTAAACAGTAGCTAAAATATTAAATGTTTGCCTTTCCTAACCAAACTCCTTGTAGTTCTTTTCTTCCAAATTCAATATCCTTCTTAGTCCCTATCCCTTGCCCACCAGCAGTCCTGAAGGAAAAAAACGTTTCCTTGAAAACAGAAGATGCGATGGTATCTGAACTCCCAGAGAGCAGCCTTTTCTTCTCATAGAAGCAGTTTGAGAAGAGTTCAAGCAGCATACCTGTCATCTTTTCATATCTGCATGGAGGGTGGGGGGGGGGACTACAATATGACAAAGGCCAAAATCTGTTTGTAACAGTGGTCTGTAAGCAGCTTTTGTTTGATTCATAAAGGAGTTCCTTTGCCTTTTAATGATACTTTTTATAGCCCAAGTTTATTTAATCTGCTTTTATAATGTAACTATAAGTAGACACAACTTCAGAAGTTCAGTTGCATTGCAGTTTGCATTGTGTCTGGGACACTGGAGGGAGTAGTAAGTAGTAATTAACCTATATTTTTCCCAGTAAAAAGTGTATCATGTAGGGTCTTTTCCTGGCAAAGTAACAAAAGCATGCTCTTTCAGTCATCTGAAAAAGAATAATGGATTACAAATACTGCTAACTACTCCAATTCTGGCTAAATTCTTGCTGGCCTTATCGAATGTGTTCATTTGGATGAAGGCCTTTTTTGTAAGCAAGTAGTTTAGTGCCAAAAAACTAACTCAACCCTCAAAAATGTGTAGAATGAATTTTCAGTGTTTAAGATGCTGTGTCTAGAAGACTCATTGATTAGCGGAGGACCAGCTTTGTTACTAATCACTTCTGTACTTCTAGCATTTGCAAATGACTGTTGCTCTTAAATATAATGATTGCTACAATGCATGTTTTACAAGTATATGTTTTGATTCTTTCTTCAAACAGGGTTACGTCAATAGCTGACAGATTGAATGTGGAATTTGCTCTTATTCACAAGGAAAGAAAGAAAGCTAATGAAGTGGACAGAATGGTCTTGGTTGGTGATGTGAAAGATAGGGTAGCTATTCTTGTTGATGACATGGCTGACACGTGTGGCACAATTTGTCATGCAGTAGACAAGTAAGTATAAACTGGCCCTAGTCCCCACCATATAGGGATGAGTATATTGTAAGCAAACCTAACTGGATCATGCATGCTTCCAAGTCAGCTTAGTCTAGGTAGTGCAGTCAGTGTCTAACTCCAGATAAGTAAGGCATAATTGTAGGGTCTGACTGCTTCACTAATGCCCTTCTTTAGGCTGCTACTCACAGCCCAAAATGAGGAGGTAGAACTTTCCAAGTTCTACCTACCACCTTCTGCCCTTTTACTTGTTTAAAATCACAGTCCCAGAGTTGTAGCTAGACTGTGAGCACCTTGGCTTCTAGTGTAGAGATGCTACAGCAGAGAAGCAAGGAATACAGGCTTTAGCAAAGGTAAGTTTTGCTAAAAGTAACTCCTGTAGCTCTCAAGAGGTAAGACTCTGAAAGGTAACAAATACACGCCTTCCAGTCTTATAATTTTTTTTTATTGAATCCAACATTTCACCAGAGCTTTAGGCTAGGCATAATCCATTCTGCATGTGCTGCTTGCCTGTGGGGATGAAAAACTGAATACAGCTGAACCAGCACTTCAGTAAGCTGGTCTTTCTGCTGTATGTTCAGTGACAAAAAGGCTCTATCACGCCAGTTATATTTTGACACGTACATACTTCCAGGATAGTAGTTGGAGTTATTGGGACTACTTTTTGCATACATTTAAGTGTTTATGGAATAGGGGCTTCAGACTAAGCTCTTTAGAATAGGACCATCTCTTGCTATATTTGTACTACATCTTGGAACACCCTATTTGAAAGTATGATCTGCTGCTATTACAGTACAAATAAAAACAAGCATAGGTTGAAAAACATTTTTAGTAAGCATTCTTGGCGTACAACAGAAAATACTAAAAACCTGTTTCTCTGCTACCTTATGGCAAATCTTAGTTTCTCTTTGGGTCTCCATCTTGTAATCTATCTGAGCTAGAAAATTGCTGGCATTTCAGGGCCATCTCCTCCTTGGGCTTCCTCTTCTCTCTCCTTTTTTTTCCTATTCCAGTTTTTGTAGCAATCCTTGTATAAAACATCAGTTTCCCATACCTGGAACTAAGAAAGCAAAGGGATGTTAGTCAAAACCTGTAACCTTTCCTGCTTGTCTGGAGTTGTTTGTGTTCTGCCTTATTTTCATTTTCCATGCTTCCTTCACTTTCTTTTTAGTGTCAACAGTACACTAAAATCATGTACACTACATATCATGCCTCATCTTAGTTACCTAGGCTTTTCAGTGCAAGACCATTTTTGGGAGGGAAGGAATCAGAGGTCCATGGCCATCTCACTCTTGTCACGTAATCGCTCATGCAAGTTGTGGTGGTTTTGAGTATAGCCTTTCTAGGTAGTAGCAGTAAAGCTACTGCACTATGGCAACTCAGTCTTTCCACCATTCTGATGTTGAATTATAAGAAGCTTTTATTGCTCAGGAAGCAACTTCAGCAGGGAGTTGCTGCTAGAATTGACCCTTCTATTGAAGGGTGTTATAAAACTTCAGTTTAATGCTTCTTTTGCGTCCTGGGCTCACATTACTCAGTGTCCAGATATAGGAGGAACAAAGCACAAGTTACAACAACTTATGAATGTTATGGAGCACCTGCATGAAGAAAATCCTGTAGCATGCAAATAACATTGCTTTTTTTTTTTTTTCCTTTTATTGATAGCTGCTTACAGTAAAATACTCCACTTGTCTGACTATCTCTTCCTCTCCCTCCTTAACCATATATAATGCTTCTAGCTTCTTGCTTTCCTTGTGTTCCTTACAAACATAATTGTTTGACTTACAAATGAAAATAAATACTTGGCCTGTTTCCCATTGGGGCTAAAGGTATTCACAAATTCCCTGTGTTGTTTGTTTGATTCTGTATATCATCTACTTTAGGGCTTTTCAGCTTCTAAGAGGCTAGGGACAGAAACCCTCACAGGCCTCACCAGCGGGGGCTGCACATACCCAGGCCTCAGCAGGGTGAGCCACAGGTCTCCTGGACTATGTGCCATGGGGATGCCCCACCACTGCGCTTCGCACTTGCACCCCCTCCCACTGCTGCATCTCATGCCTGCACAGTACCAGACTCACCCTCAGCCTGCACCACACTGCAGTGTCTTGCCCCCTGAGGTGGGTGCAGGCAGCAGAAGCCAGAGGCACAAAGGGGAGCCTAAAGACTCCAGCTACTGTTGCAGCCAGAGCAATGTGGGGAATGGGTAGAACCCTGGGGCCTCAACTTAATCCTTCACTGCCTGCATAGCACCCACAGGCAACCAGTTGGATGTCCTCGGTCTACTTGCTGAAAGCTCAAACTTAGAATTTAGTCTTTGAGGCTAGTATTACTTGCCATTATTCATTTGCCAGGAGCTGTTCTGATCTCTGCTAAATCTTTACAAAGGTTAACCTCTTTCTCTCTCTCGTGTGAAGGAATGTGTCAGTTAGTTTTTAAATAGTATTTCTTTGGAAGTGGCAAAGCCAGGTGGCCTTATTTAAAATCTGTATATTTAAATGCATAGTAACTGGTTTTCCTCCTGTTCTATAGGTTGTTATCTGCTGGAGCAACCAAAGTTTATGCTATTCTCACTCATGGAATCTTCTCTGGTCCTGCTATTTCTCGAATTAATAATGCTGGATTTGAGGCTGTTGTAGTAACTAACACAATCCCACAAGAAGAGAAAATGAAACACTGCCCCAAGATTCAGGTATTGCCAGGGCAGTGAAGGAGGTGCGGGGTGGGTCTTCTGTGCCTTCCCTGTGGGCCCAGAGTCCTCCAGCCCTGTATTCCTCTTGCTGTATACCAGCCCAGCTGCAGACAGACAGGGAGCTGCACTTCTTGGTGCCAAGTGCTGTAGTCTGGATGAGGGAGAGCGGTGTGAATATCTACGCATTTGTGCTTTATCCTGGGAGAAAAGCAACTCTCCTAGGAGAAACTGAATGTCTGTACAAAGCCTTAAATAAACCCCTTACAGGCTTGTTACTCACTTTATCTATCTGTACATTAGAAAATAGTTGCCAAAGTTTCGGCATAATTGGCTCACGTTTGTAGAATATTCCTTGTTCCTCAGGAGAGACTCTAATGGCTGCTGGTCTTAGCAATAATAAACTTGTGTATTTTATTCGGTTTTAGGTTATTGACATTTCCATGATCCTGGCCGAAGCAATCCGAAGAACACACAATGGTGAATCAGTCTCCTACCTGTTCAGCCATGTTCCATTGTAACTGCAAGAGATTATAGTGTGCCTTTGCATAGGCTGCATCAAACAGCACTGTCGTTATTATAAATACTACAACTTGATAATGAACACCTTTTAAAAAGCTTCAGAGCTTGCATACTTAGTGATCCTTTTGTTTTCTGATTAATCTTTATTTGTTGAAAATGGATGACAGCTCCATCTTGGAAAAACCTTTTATGAATTCCCTTAAAGGCTTTAGGGGTTTGACCTGTGACTTATTCTTACAGGTAGCTTGTATTTCTTTGTCTGACTACAGCAAGAGGAGTAAAACATTTCAAAACTTAGGGCTACCTCTGGAAATCCCTCAAATCTATCTTTAAGATATTGCACATTGGTTTATATTTAATAAAAACTTGGATGGACAAAGAGGTGGTTCTCTGGCTGTGTGAGATTTAAATCTTGTTTAAGGTTGTTAGCTACATATCTTTTTGCCTCCCTAGTGGAGAGAGTTCAAAGCATTTTCCCTGAAGTTAAATAAAATTCTGGAGCTTGATGACTATCTCCTTCACATACCTCATGGTTAAACTTGTTGAGCAAGTCTTATTTTTATAGGGTTGGTATGGCCATGGCTTTGTGATTACTTGCTCATGCTGTCACTGCTAAAATGTTACTTCAGATGTCTGTTAAAACTGGGACCAGATTCACCACACATCTACCTGTGAAACTAGAATATCTGCATTCTAAACTAAAACTAAACTAGTACATTGTATTAAAAGATACAAGGTACATTTTGCCACATTTAATTTTGTCTATTAATTAAACTTTCAAAGAAGCTACTGATGCCTAACTTCATTGCTCTTCTGTTTTTAATAACCGTGAATATCACTTACCAAAATTATAAATTTCCATAACAAATTTAATCAACTCTAGGTATCTTCATATTATTCAGTGCATTGTATTTTACAGCATATGAAATTCAAACAGTATAATCTTGCTTTTTGTGGTCATCTAGGTGGTTTGTGATGGTTAGTGAGCCTTTTTGTCTTTGAGTGCAAAGACATTCCATAGTTTAATGACAGTTTTCCTGTTTTTTTTTAAGATGGAGGAGTAGTCCAGATAGCAAATGCAGATGTATCTCTATTTATAAAAAGCCTATAAGGTGTGATCCCTGCCTGCATTTGTCTGACACCATAATGTACATGCATTCAACTTGAGTAGGCTTCCCTACTTTTATGGGGAAGGTAGTAGAGCATGACCTTTTTATATTCTGTGAGATCACTTATTGGTTTGCTGCCACCATTGGTTTGGTTGGCTCTCGAGTCTCAAGTGCCCTATAAATAGGGAGTCAAAGCCATTTTGAAAGCAATTTAACAGTTGAAATGCTGGGACTCTTTGGTTTTTTTCTTATAGTTCATTATTAGATACAGCTGTCATCAGTAATTAAGGTTTTAAAATCTTGTCTACTGAAGTCTAGAACTTAGTGTTCTGAAGAGCCTTACAGGTCTAAAAGGAGAGTGTGCTGAGCCACAGGCATCACATGTTCATTTACTTGGATCATGCCAGATATTGAAATAGAAGTATAATTTTAAAAAGTCTCTTGTGGCTGTGGATACCACAAGATTTCAACCAGTTCTTTGCTAGAACTGCTCTACTAGGTCACAATGCACTTAGAATATTAGACTAATATTGATATTTACCATTTCAGTTTCCTCCTAATAATTCTCAGACTATTACATCTAGGTATTCTTTTCAGTACTATGCTAGCTGTCGTACGTTTTGTTCAGTATTAAAAAAGTTCCATTGTACTCCTTACAGAAAGTAGAGGAATGGTGGTGGTAAGAAGCCTATCTGCGTCACTCATCCAAAGCAAAAATTCAATTCTGGAGTTTCCTCCTATTTAATTTCTTATTCTGGTTTTATTTTTAAATCTCTGTAGCACAACAGGATAACTCTACATTGCCTACTGGCTGCGGAAAAGTTTTTTTTTTATCTAACCCCTTGTCTTAAGGTTGTATTTCCTAAAATGCTATTCTGCAGTGAAGTCTCTACTGCAAAACTATGGTTGTATAGTCTTGATCATACCAAAGTTTGGTTGACTGAAAACTTCAAAAGTTTTATCATACCTCTCCTTTCATTGGTTTGTTTAGTATTCTAAAAAGCATCTGTTGGTGTTTTGAAGATCAGGTCTCTGTTACAAATGAAATGTTGAATGGGTTGCCTTTTATTGTGCTCAATAAAATTTTTAATTGTGCTTTCCGGCTGGTTTTTTTTTTTTTTTTTTGAATTTTTTAAAATTCTTTTGGTAACCCAAAGTTTATGGAGATAATTTTCTTGAAGGAAAGTAGGGAGGGAAATATGGAACTTGGTATGCAATAAGCCTGCCTCAGTTCTCCTGAATAATGGTAGGAGATGTTAATCACAGTACACTGAACAGACCTTCAGAATAGAGCCATACTTCTCCCTGTTTTATCTGATCTACAAAAAATAAATGAATAAAATTGACAAACTTTAAATTTTATTATTGGACATCCGATTTAACACATCACACAAATGGTCAGGCCAGATTTCTCAGGTTATTAATGTTAACAAGTAATTTTTTTTTTTTTTTTTTGCATTTCGGGCACTTTAAGCAATGGCTTGAAACACTGTAGGACTGAGGTTACACAGCCAGACCAAATGTCTTTCAGATGTCCATAGGAATACTCAATTAGCTTTGCTGAAGTGTTTGTATGCCTCTTAGTAGGATGTGTTCTCCTCTCTCTCTTTTCTTTATATATAAAAAAATAAATAAATAAATAAAGTGAATGTTCCCCAGACAGTGATAACCAGGGATCTGAGTTTTCCATTCACAACCAGGGGGGAAAACATAGTAAAATGTGGATTTTTCTCATTTTAAGGAGAAAAACACAGGTTTTCCCTTGCAGACTGGCAGAGTTCTGGCCTGCAAGGAGCTGGGGGAACAGGAATTGGGCAGGGGGCACCAAGGACATGTGTGCATTCTCACATGCACATGGCAGCCAGGCAGTGTGAGATTAGCTCCCCACAGGTAAGTCTCCCTGCAGGTTGAAATTGAAGCCCCCATAGTGAGGGAGGAAGGGAGCTAGACAGGGCTGGGGCTGCTGTCCAGTCAGGGTGGTGCTTGGGGCCTGGGAGGAGTGGCCCCAGGGCCTGGGTGGGGAGTGGGACAGAGCCATAGGGAGTGAATGTGGGGACTGGCTCCCTGCTGCTGTACACACATGGGGTTGAGGGCATGGTGGGCACCCCCCCTCCCCAGACTTGTTCCCTGACCTGGTACACATGGAGGATGGTGGCTGTGTGCTCAGGACTCCCTACCCTGCTGCCCTCACCCCAGGGACCTCCATGGTCCAGCAGGAAAAACCCGATGTGGCAGGGCAGAAGGGGGCAGGGAGGCTTGATGCTGCCATTGCAAGCCTCATGCCATGGTGAGACACCACTTGCCCACCTGGCAGCAGCAGGAGTGGCAGTGTAAAGTCTCGTGCTGCTGCCAGACGAGCAAGGGGCATCTCGCTATGGTGGCTTGGGACTCGCAGTGGTGGCACTGAGCCTCTCCACCTCACTGCCGTGCTGTGCTGTCTCGTTCACTGGGCTGTGAAGGTCCCCTGGGGGGAGGGCAGCAGGGTAGAGAGACCCAAACCTGTAGTAGCCAGCCTGTATCTGTCTCCACCCCATGGGCTCCACTCCAGCCATGGGCAGCATTTGGGGGGAAGCTGGGCTCCATGCTTCAATGTGCTGCTGCAGCAGCTGCCACTTCCCATGAGTGGTAGCCAGGGCTTGGGTGCTTCTGGGAGCTCAGGGCAGTGGACTGAGGTCTCTAGCGCTGACAGCTGGGGCCCCCCTCTGCCAGGGCTGGGAGGGCCCAGGGGGCTATGGTTGGGGACTGAGGGGCACCAGCAGGTCACAAGGACCTGTGAGTTGGGAGTGGCATGGCCAAGGCACCAGCATATCAGGGCTGCTCAGTGGCATAAAGCAGGGAGGCAGAGGACGACAGCTGCACCTGACCCACATCTTGGTGAGCGAAGGAAGCAGGGGGAGCTCTGATTTTTATCATGGGCGGGGGGGGGAACAAACCCAAAATCAAAAGCCAAAGTTTATAGGTATTTTGAATTTATTATTGTGATTGAGGCACTGGTAGGCTTCCAAAATTGCTTTTAAACTGTAACTATATCAATAAAACATTGTGTTCAACTGATACATGTGTGTGTATAATGGTGTTTCATTTTAATCAAGGAAAAACAGATTTTGGAGAGGAATTTAATCAGAGAATTAACAATTTTTAAACCGAGAAAACCAGGATCCCTGGTTATTTAATTTTTAATCATGGATGTTGGGGGCTTAGCAGAGAATTTGTGATTTTATTTTATTTTTTTTTTCCCTGATGATAAAATCACATTCTCTGCTAAACCCCCAAAATCCGTGATTAAAATTTAAAGCCCTCCGCCCCTTCCCCAGCCTTGCTGGTGCCCCTTGTTCCCCCACTTACAGCCCCTACTCCCCCAGTCCTGCTGGAGGCAGCCCCCAGCTGCCAGACATGTGGACCTGGGTCCACAGCCCCCTGCCCCTGCTCTCCCCTGCTGCAGGCTTGGGCGGGGTATCTCCCCACTGCTGTGTGTGCTCCCAGGGGGCAGGGGGGGCCTGTCCCCCCCCCCCCCGATCTGTACCTAGGATAGGCGCAGGCTGCGGGCTCGAGCTCCCATCCTGCTTCCCTCCCCCAGGGCCTCTGGAGCCAGCAGGCGTGACCTAATGCAGCAGGTAACAGCGGAGAACGGGGCCTGCTGTTCCCTGCCGCCCTGTTTTCTTCCCCGATAACCCTGTGGGAGGAGCCGTGCAAAAAATCTCCTTGGCACTTCTCACCCTCAATGCCCTGGCAACATGCCTCCTGCATGTAGGGCTGCAGTGATGGTAGCAGTGTGGGGCTGTGCCCCTCAAAGCAGTGGCAGGCACCGGAGGTGTGTTGCCAGGGTAGCTGCGGAGGGGGGCACAGCTTACACTGGTGAGGAATCCCTGTGGCCCTGCTGACCCCAGCCACTCCAGGTCACACCTGCTGGCTCTGGGTGGGGAGGCCCTGGGGGAGGTGTCATTGGCTTTCCCTCCCTCTGTCTTTTCCCCCCCCCCCCCAACCTTCTCCTGGATCCCTGCACATGAGCAACATTTATAGGCAGAAGTTTGCCTTGGAGTATGCTGATGATGACTTTACTAGTCCTTAGACCTTATCAGTGCTCAGCTGGAGGATCTTGCTTGTGTACTCAGTGGGCATGTCTACATGTGCCTATTAATGTCAGCTGTAAGCTCCAGAGTTTATCACTCTGGAGACTTATTGCTGCCAGCTATGTGTCTACGCGTGTATCTGGGATTGCAACATACTTGAGCTTGGATGCAGCAGCCCTGGCTGTCAGGGAGCCCTGGCTCAACACGCTGTGAAGAGTCTTGCTGGGATATGAGGGTGCTTCAGTGCAGGGCTAGCCAGCAGCTATTTAGTTAGTATAAACTGTAAGCATACTGTCAGCCAGGTGATCAGCAGGGATACGGTTTTCTCTGATTTAAGAAAAAAAAAAATCCCCAATTTCAGGTTTAAAAAAGTAACCCAAAATCTGCTTTCTTTTTGATTACACACAGAAAACAAAAACAAAAAAAAACGTCGCTAATATATAAATATATGTAGTGGTGGCTCATTTTAATCACAGAAAAATGTGGACTTGTTAAACAGGTATTTATGTTACAGAATTAAATCAATTGTTGCCATACAAATAAAGCAGATGGGTTTAAACTATTCACAATTTTGCATTGGCATTTACTTTTTATCTTGCAAAATAAGCAGAGTTAATTTTGTAGTTGAGTTAAAAGTATTTCTACTTTCCTGAAGGGAAGGAAATTGCAGTGGTTGCAAGCCAGGTTCTGCAGTTTGGTCTTTCCCACTGTTTCCTCTTTTGTTTGTTGCCTTTTTCTTTTTCTTTTCTGTTTTTTTTTTTTCTTTTTTTTTTTTTTTTTTTTTAAGTGCCAACAACCAAAACTTTCTGTAACTGTTCTCATCCACTTTTACAGCCCCCAGGCTTCTGTCATGATCTTTAGCTATCACTTCTGCAATTTTCCTATTCCTCAGTTCTTTTTTTGCATCTGTCTGCTTGTGTCTGCTTTACTATGGTTTAATGAATCCCTGTTAAATTATCTGCTAAGCATCACACTCTGAGGGGCATAATATTACTATAGTAAACGTTCTGGATAATACAATAATGACTTGTTTGCAAGTTGCTCCTTAGGTAAAATGTCAATTAGCAAAAGTGGGTCACTTTCACCTTCTGTAATATTTTGATTCTGATAAGTGGAAGGGTCCAAATTGTTAAACTCATTAAATATAATTGATTTAAGAGTTAAAATTAGTGTAATTATTGCTTTCTTGCTGGCACTCCTTCCTGCACAAGGGGGGATAAATAAATGTTAAGGTATTGTCCCAGGAATGAAGGCATAAAGACCTTGTGGGAAGCCTATCTATTGGGATCCTGGTCTCCATCCCTTAGTTGCCTATGGTGTGTGGATGGGCATCCCTTGTGGGTTGGAGCTATTACAGCTATAACAACTGCCAGTCCCTTACATCTGCCAACTGCACTCTGGCTATGGTTGCAACAAGTGAAACAGCAAATTAATGCTTCTGTAATTTGGTCTGTAAGGTTTTTGGTTTGGGGTTTTGGGGTTTTTTGTTTTTTTTTTTCTTGGTTGTTCAGTTTTTGCTTGATTTGATGGGAATATATTTTTCTTTTTTCTATGCCTCCTTTTCTGTGCGAGTGAAGCCACTTCCATCCATCTGGAGTGGAACAAAAATAACTTCACAGTACATAGGAGGACACCTGGAATAATTTTCCCTTATACAATAGGCAAGGATTTAGGTTAGACATTGGGTTACCTCTTAATTTTATGATGATTTCTAAACTTCAGCATGGCACAGCCGAGGATTTAGGGTAAAATCACATGTTGGAGTTAGCAGGTAATAATTCTAAGGATTGTTAACTAATACTAGTGATTAGCAGGGATCCTATGGCTCTGTAGCTATGGTTCTGCAGTAGCAGCGAGGGATGGTGACTGGGGGGCGCTCGCACGCGGAGGCCACTGCCGCTTACCTGTGGAGCCATGCCAGTAGTGACAGTCACTGCATGCAAAACCTCCGTGTGCCGCTGCTGCCACCACAGAGCCATGCCTACGGAGCTGTGGCCGGCTGCAAGGTGGCAGTGGCAGTGTGGT